GAGATGAAATGGTGAAGGCACCAGGGACAGTGCTACATCTTATGCTGTGCATACTAAGACACTTGTTCACACACTGTCATTTGAAGTTTTTCCTTCTGCTTTAAAAATGAGGAATGAGTTGACTTTTATGACAGGTTTTTTTCTCTCCATTCTTCTGCCTTTCAATTTTTTCCTCATTGCCTTTAGTTTTACCTGTGGTTTATTTTTCTGGTTCTGGTTTTTTGTTTAGATTTTAAATTGTTTATGTGTATGAGTCTTGCCTGAATGTCTGTGTCCACAGAGGCCAGAAGGAAGCATTGGGTCTTCCTAGAGGTAGAGGTTCAGGTGGTTGTGAACTGCCATATGGGCGCTGGGAACCAAAGCCGGATTCTTTTTAAGAGCAGTAAGTGCTCTTAACTGTGCTGACTCATTCCTCATAATATAAATTAGTAATATTTTAAAAATTATCTTTCTGCCGGGCGGTAATGGCACACACCTTTAGTCCCAGATCTCAGGAGGCAGAGGCAGGTGGATCTCAGTGAGTTCGAGACCAGCCTGGTCTATAACAGCTAGTTCCAGGACAGCCTGCAAAGTCACAGAGAAACTCTGTATCGAAAAACCAAATATTTTTTTCCACCCTTAATCCAGCTCAACAGAGACAGCAGCAGGTAGGTCTCTGAGTTCCAGTCCAGCCAAAGCTATACAGTGAGACCCTGTTTTACAAACAAACAATAAGATGACTGAATAGTTGAGAAGATTTGAATAAGGGCTGTTTACTCATGGATACTGAGGAATTATTGGTTATGCTAAGAGCATTTTTTTGTATGATAATACCATCTGTTAGGCATAGAGACACTCTTGGGTTTGAGGCCAGCCTGGTCTACAGAGTGGGTTCCAGGATAGCCAGGGAAACAGAGAAACCATGTCTGGCCAGTTGAGGGGTTAGGGGAAACACAGTAAGTATATCCATCTTTTTTGTAGATTAATGCTTCAATACAGAGGTGAACACCGAATGGCCCTGGGGGTATTCTGAAATGCCCTGGGGAAGATTACAATCCTGACAATTATTTAATCTACATATGAATTTGTGCAGGTTCGTCGTGGTTCAAATTTGTTTTTTTTTTACTCTATTTGAATATGTTTCAGTGAAAAACAATTTTATCATCCCCTATTTCCTATCAAATAATAGATTTAAAGGACATAACTCAAAATCCAGGCCCCTTCAGAGACTCCTGAGGTTGCTGAGAAGTCAGCTCCTTCAAATCCTGAGTTAAGAAGAAGGAAGGGCTGAGTGTTAAAGCCATGCACAGTACATACTTAGGCCATTCCCACCTCTATCTTTGAAAACTTGTCCTGACAAACTTGCTTCTGATCTTGCTCAGGCTGTGCTCTGTTTTTCAAAAGACACTTTTGGGGCTGGAGATATAGTTTAATCAGTAGAGTGGTTACTTAGCATGGGTTGGAGCCAAACTGCACATGGTGGTGCACACCTATAATACAGCACTCAAAAAGTAGACACAGGAGTATCAGAAGTTCAAGGTGATACTTGGATAGGTAGCCTGGAATGTGTAAGACCCTGTCTCAAAAAATAAAAATACTTTTTCTTAGCTGAGCAGTAGTGTACATCTTTAATCCCAGCATGAATCTCTGAGTTTGAGGCCAGCCTGGTCTACAGAGTGAGTTCCAGGACAGCCAGGGCTACACAGATAACCCATGACTCCAAAAAGAAAGAAGGAGAGGGAAGAAGGAAGAAGAATTTTTTTCTTTAAAATCACATCAACTTCCATCTGAGGAGAAATTCTTTACCGGTCTACCTCTGGCATTAAGAAGACTCTAGGAGTATCAGACTTAGGTTTTTTTGTTTGTTTGTTTGTTTGTTTTTGTTTTTGTTTTACGAGACAGGGTTTTTCTGTATTGTTTTGGAGGCTGTCGGTCCAGCCTGGCCTCGAACTCACAGAAATCCGCCTGCCTCTGCCTCCCGAGTGCTGGGACTAAAGGCGTGCGCCACCACCGCCCTGCCAGACTTAGGTTTTTATAATAGTATTTTGCCCTGCATGGGCATATATATATATCTTTGTATCCCTATACTCACTGAACTAGAAACTTTTTGCTTGCTTGCTTGCCTGCCTGTGAGACAGGATCTCTCTGTGTAACAGCCCTGGCTGCCCAGGAACTCACTCTGTAGAACAGGCTGGCCTCAACTCACAAAGATCTGCCTGCTTCTGCCTCCTGAGTGCTGGGATTAAAGGCGTGCACTACATCCTGGCAATTGGAAGTGTCTTAAAGTCTCCTTCCCCGGTATGCTTCAAAACAGGTCGAATAACTCCTGTAGCAAGGACACAAAGGAGGCTGGAGAGATGACTCAATGCTTAAGAATGATAACTGCTTTTACAGAAGACCTAGGTTTGGGTCCCAGCACCTACATGATGGCTCACAAACACCTCCTACATAGGTGTTCAGGGGATCCTACATAGGCTTCTGGCCTCTGAATGCCTGGATGTATGTGATGCACATAAACTCACAAAGGGAGAGGGGAGGGAAGCAGGGAGGGAAAGAAAGAAAAAGGAAGGAAGGTAGTTTGAATGTCCCATAAGCTCATATATTTAAATACTTGATCCAAAATTGTTAGACCTGTTGGGAAGGATTAGGAAGTATGGCCTTGCTGTAGAAGGTGTATTACTGGGGTTAGGCTTTGAGGCTTCAAAAGTATTCCATCCCAGTTAGCTGTCTCTCTTCCTCTTCCTCCCCCTTCTCCCCCTCTCCCTTCCCCTTCTCTCTTCCTTGTGCTCTTGGATCAGATATAAGTTCTCAGCTACTTCTCCAGTGCCGTGCTGCCTGCCGCCATGCTTCCTGTCATGATGGTCATAGACTCTAACCTTCTGGAACAGCAAACCTAAATTAAATGCTTTCTTTTGTTCATGGAGTCTTACCACAGCAGTAAGAAAGTAACTAAGACTCAGAACTGGAGTGTTAGGCTAAGAAATTGTTCTCTGTAATTGGAAGTAAGTGCAATGAGCATTGTCTAAGATTTCCAGGCTAGATATTCAATATGCCTGCTTACAGATCTTCAGGGGGAGATTTGAATGTGTTTGCATTTTGAAATATGTTATTTTCTTTGCCAGCCCCAACAGATGGTCACCCTTACTGCTTTTAACAGAATTTTTAACTGATGTGACAATAGCCATATGGTCTTCCTGGGAGGAGGCTAAATATTTGCATTAAGCTCATCTTTGATTAAGCCACCATTTTACTGTGTAAGTCTGAGAACATCTTCAAACTGAAAGGAAATGTAAAAGTATTTTGTCTTGTGTTTTTAATTTGATGACTAAGTCCACAGCATACAGTCACAATTGTGAATTTGTGCTATCCAATATATTGTTAATTTTTTATAAGCACTTCGATTTTTCCAGGAATATTTAATGTAAGCCTGTGTTTAACAATCAGATAAGCTCCTGTTCTCTGTCCTCCTCTGGATATGGTAGTCATATGGATGGAAGCTGACCTCCACTCAGGAGAGGAAAAGAGACTAACATTTCTTGAGCACTGTGCAGAATCTTCCACTAAGTACAGAATGCCATGTTGGAGACTTTGGATGAACTTGCAAAGTAAGAAACTATTTCCTCCTGCTTTTTTTTTTTTTTTTTTTGGTTTTTCGAGACAGGGTTTCTCTGTGCTTTGGAGGCTATCCTGGAACTAGCTCTTGTAGACCTGGCTGGCCTCAAACTCACAGAGATCCGCCTGCCTCTGCCTCCCAAGTGCTGGGATTAAAGGTGTCCGCCACCAACGCCCGGCTAAATGTGTAGCCCAGGCTGGCCTCGAACTCGTGATCCTCCTGCCTCTGCCTCCTTCAGCAAATCCTACCGGCGTGTGCCACCACAACCGGCCCTCCTGCTTCTTAGTAACCCTTTCCCACCTCAGAGAGCCCAGGTTCTCCAGATGCACCACAAGTCGTGAACCACAAGTTAAGAACCACTACTCTAAAAGAACTAGGAGAAGTAGGATTAATACATAAATTAATTTATAGTTGTGGGGTATTACAGTCTTTATAATGTTCTTCAGCCTCAGTACAAGTAAATTTTAAACCTTACATTTCAAATGATTATGAAAATATGGCAACTCACATAGTCCCATTACTGAAGGGAGAAAATCATGGGTGCCTAGCAGGAACAAGGCTTTAGAAGTTGTGAAACCCTCCAGGCGGTGGTGACACACGCCTTTAATCCCAGCACTGGGAAGGCAGAGTCAGGAGGATCTCTGTGAGTTTGAGGTCAGCCTGGTCTACAAAGAGAGCTCCAAAACAGCCAGGACTACACAGAGAAACTCTGTTTCAAAAATAAAATAAAATAAACCAAAAGAAAGAAAGATTGTGAAACCCACCAGGCTAATTCCCAGGACACCAGAGCAGGAGCTGCAAGTAGACCAGGGTCTGCTTTACCCTCCTGCCTGTCGTTCTGTCTTCTCTCTCTATTCTTTTCAGAAGAGACGGCTCATATTTGAAGCTGAGTCATCTTTTAGAGCAAGGCTTTGGCCATGAGGCCCTAAAACAAGCCTCACAGCAGGGTCCTCAGTTTGACCTTGGAGATTAAGGCCACATCTTGTGAGGTTTCTGAGACTAACTCTCCCTTCCTTCCTTTATCACTTCCTTCATTCCTTACATCCTTCCTTTCTTGCTTGCTCTCTTTCTAAAAATTGTGTGTGCTTGTGAATGCATGCAACTGCTACACTGTACATGTAGAAGTCAGAGAACTACTTGGGGGAACCAGGTCTCTCCTTTTGCTGTGTGAGTTCTATTTTTTTTTTTTTTTTTTTTTTTTTTTGGTTTTTCGAGACAGGGTTTCTCTGTATTGTTTTGGAGGCTGTCCTGGAACTCGCTCTGTAGACCAGGCTGGCCTCGAACTCACAGAGATTCGCCTGCCTCTGCCTCCCGAGTGCTGGGATTAAAGGCGTGCACCACCAACACCCGGCTCGATGTGTGAGTTCTAGAAACCAAACTCAGGTCATCAGGCTTGGTAGCAGGTACTTCTCTTGCTGAACCATCTTGCCTGTCACTGAGGTCATTTCTTGCTGTGAGAACCCTCAGGAACAGGATAGAATGAGAAGGAGTTCTGTTTTTCCAACCCAATAAGGTCTATGTTAGAAGTATTTACTCTAAATTCTGTTTGAAAACTTCATGTCTCCTTCCTTGTTTCATGCCTCCTTTCAATATTTTATCACGGGCAACTAAGAAGAAACAAATTAGTCTCATAATCATTTAACTTGAAAATTTTCTTTGGCCAGATCCACAGGTTCAAGTACATGATGTTACTGTAGGCATGAGCCTCATTCATCATTCTATTTTAAAGCACAGATGAACAAACATCTTCCTATCTGCAAGAATAAATCCTGACTAGTTTCTTGACATGCAGGTATCAAATCACCTGGAACCACCACACCCTTCTTCAGGTACCACTTTAGCTTTAGTAATCTACTGCCATGTAAAAACCTACCTCAGACGCTTTGTCATTTCCCAGGTCTTGTGGGTTATTGAAGTAACACAGATGTATGAATCTAGAAGTTTAGGTGTGTACAGATAGACATTCTTTTAGGTATCAAATGACATGTTACCCTGCTTCCTAATTACTGCCACATTGCTGGGTTTTGTTGTTTTGAGATGGGGTTTTATGACTCACAGATTAGCCTTACACTAGCTTTGTAGCCAAGGATGGTTTTGAATTTCTGATCCTTTTATTTTCAATCTGGAAGGTATGCATTACCATGTAGTGCTAGGGATGAAACCCAGGACTTTGTGCATATGAGGCAAGCACTCTACCAAGCAAGCTACATTCCCAATACATTTTTTCTTTCTTTACATGATAATCTGTTAATCAACTTCTAATTAATTTTTCCTTTCTCTACAAAAATATAAGTTCAGGTTTGCTTTGTTACTTATTCACAGGTGTATTCCCAGAACCTCAAATAAGTGAATCCACATAAAAAGATTTCATAAATATGTATGTCTGGAGGCTATGGAGACGGATCAGAGGCTAAAATGCTAGGTAAGCATGAATATCGGTGTACAGCTCTCCTGCAACCATGTAAATGGGTAAACACATTCACACACACACACACACACACACACAAATGTATATGCTTCACACACAATTTTAAAAGTAAATATTTCTGTTTTTATAGAACTATCTCAAAGTTTAGACAACTGCTGACTACTACAAGCTGGATTAAAATGTTAAATGACTTTAACATTGAGTAGAGCTTGTGAATATATTTGAAACTTGCTTCAATAATCTGAAGAACAGGGAAAGGTGTGTTTGAGTACAGGTGAAAGGAGGCTATGCGTTTATTACTATTAAGCTGAGTTAAGGTACATGAGGGTCTTTGACTCATGTCTTAACAGTTGGTATCAGTTGTTAGTTGGTACATCTTGATCCTCCATGTGTCCTCTTATCTTTTAGATTAGATAATTTTCCTTACAAAGTGAACTTAGAGCAGAGATTCCAAAAAAGCAAGAGGCAGGAGCACAAATGTTATTGAGACTGAATTTCTAGAGCACTTAACAGTACCATTTCTACCAAATGCTTCTGGTCAAATCCAGTCAAATGGCTAGACAGATTCAAGAGATGGAAGACTGGCACAAAACTAAGTCATTTTTCATCTATTCCTGGGTAGAGGTGTGATGTACTATGGCTGTGGTTCAGTATTATCATCAGTGGACACATAGTACCAGAGTTGTAGCCAGTTACCAAACTGTTTTTGTTATTTTGTGAATATTAGTGCTAGGCCAGGTGTCTTAGCACTCAGGACACAGGCAGGTGGATCTCTGTGAGGCAAGCCTGGTCTACATAGTCCAGGCCATCCAGGAACACATAAAGAGAATCTCTCTGGGGAAAAAAATGCTTAGCCTTGGAGATTATGGCAACAATGAGAGAATCTCTATGAGTTGAACCCAGAATGGATCCCTCCCAAGACACATTGAGAATATCAATAAGGAGGCCATCCCATAATGTCGTATAAGATACCCAACCTAACAGTGAACAATTCTCCACATAACACAAACAAATAAATGAATTGAAGAAGGCCACACAGGATCTGAAAGAGGACTGGGCAGGAATCACAAAGGAAATGAGAGGCTCTAAAGGTCAGATGGGAAAGTTAGTTGGCAACCTCCATACAGATTAGATCAGGCAGAAAAAAAAAATCGTGGGGTCTCTGCAACCACCAGGGCCAGCAGAGTGTCTGTCGATGACAAGAGGCAAGGAGGAAGTCCAGTTCAACATGACTCAGTAGCCAGTGTTGGTCTGGCACCAGGTTCTTTATTTGAGGTAGATTTAAGCACAGCACAATTTGGGGAAAAAAGTTTCCTGGTGATAATTAACTCAGTCCCATGTACACAACAAAGCTTAAGACATGATCACATGGAAACTGTAGTAAAGCACAAGTGACATCTTCCACAAAGATAGGTTCTATAGACTAACAGAGGAAAACAGGCTCAAGATAAACAAGCTCCTGATAAGAGGTTGGGGGAGGGTGGTGCCATAGATTAACTGAGACAGACGAGCTCAAGATAATAGTCTTGGGGAGCTGGTGTGTCCTGGCCATACAGATAATGCAAAGGTCACCCAACTTAACCATTCTCTTTTCAGTCCTCTGAGCAGAAAGCAGATTATACATCTCCCTTTGAAGAGACAACCCTGTGTGTTTAACATTCCTGGTTTCCCTAGTGCTTATCTGTGAGCACAAGGACCTCTATACCTCCTACAAAAAAATTAACAATCTGAAGACAGATCTTTTGGATTGTTAGTGTCTGATAGAAAGAACAAAAGAGAGGTGTAAGGATAAAATAATAAGTCATAGAGATGTATTTTTATGGTCATGAGTATTTGAGGTTCTAAATGCCTCTCACACGTGGACAGCCATGTCTTTCCCAAGATTTGGGGCGTTTTTCTGCTGTCATTTTACTGAAAAGGTTTTCTATGCCCCCAGTCTGTAATTTTTTCCCTCAAGTATGCCAGTGATCTGAATATTTTAATTTTTAAAGGGTATCCCAATGTTGTTGCATTTTCTCCTCATACTTATTATTGTTAAGTTGTGAAAAACACAGGACAAAGAAAGTAATACAATTTACAAGAGGGAAATGTCAAGTAACAATTAAAGACAAGTACATCAGATTAACAGCAGATTTCTCAGAACTCTTAAATGCCAGAAGGGCATGGGAAGATGTATTTTTGGTACCAAAAGAAAATAACTAACCAAGATTATTGTATGCAGCAAGACTATACTTCACAGTTGAAGGAGAAGTAAAGACCTTCCATTTAAAAAATAAATTAAGGAGACAAAGGCAGGTGGATCTCAGTGAGTTTGAGGCCAGCCTGGTCTACAAAGTAAGTTCCAAGACAGCCAGGACTATTATACAGAGAAACCCTGTCTCTCAAAAACCAAAAATAAAATAATTTTTTAAAAAAATAAGGGAATACATGACCACAAGACCAGGAGTGCAGCAGATTTTTAAAGGAATCCTATTCCCAGAAGAGAAAGAGTTTTACACTATCATTAAAAATGTGAATAAATCCCACTAGGAAAGAGATATGCCAACGAGAACTAAGAAAGAAGTATTACTAATATAGTAAACCATCAGATTTACAAGATAAACAGGAAGAAATAAGCAAAATATATTCAAAGCTACATGAAGACTATAATGAAATATAAAAGATTTATATGTCAAGTGGTGGAATAGCACCTAATTTTATATAAACAAAATGCTAGTGGACATACAAAGTAAGCTTAGGCTACTATGTGACAGTGGGTGACTTCAATACCAAGAATAATTTTGCATAACTCGAGAAAACTTCCCAAAATTCATGTAAGAGCACAAAAACTTCAAGTAGTCAAAGAAACCTAAGCAAAATCATGCCAGAGACAAAGTAAGACAAAAGGAAAACTTTTCGGGATATTGGCACAGCTAGATATTCTAGACAAGACTTTGAACATAGGAAAATTAAGAATTGGCACCTGGAGCTGGAGAGATGGCTCAGAGGTTAAGAGCACTCACTGCTCTTCCAGAGGTCTTGAGTTCAATTCCCAGCACCACATGGTAGCTCACAACTGCCTGATGCTCTCTTCTGGGGTGCACATGTTCGTACTGACAAAATACCAATATACATAAAATACATTAATAAATAAATAGTTTTTAAAAATTAGTCTTGGGACTGGAGAGATGGCTCAGCAGTTAACAGCACTGGCTATTCTTCAAGAGGACCTGGGTTCAATTCCCAACACCCACATGGCAGCTTACAACTGCCTATAAGTCTACGTCCAGTGGATCTGACACTACTGTGGAATAATCTTTTTTGTGCACTGTAAATGTGTGTCACTCTGGGAAGAAGGGCAGGGTCTCCAGGAGACAGAGGGAACATGATATGCTGGAGGACAGGTAAAGCCAGAGCCATGTGGCAATATATAGATTAATAGAAATTGGTTAAGTTGTGAGAGTTAGTTAGTAACAAGCCTAAGCTATGACCGAGCTTTTTTTTTTTTAAGATTTATTTATTTATTTATTTATTACAGATACAGTTTGTCTACATGCCAGAAGAGGGCATGCACCAGATTGAATTGTAGATGGTTGTGAACCACCATGTGGTTGCTGGTAATTGAAGTCAGGACCTCTGGAAGAGCAGTCAGTGCTCTTAACCTCTGAGCCATCTCTCCAGCCCCATGACTGAGCTTTTATAAGTCTCCATGTCATTACTGGGGAACTGGTGGTCTCAAAGAAAAAGTCTAACTATATGACACTCTCACAGATATACATGCAGGCAAAGTGCTAATACACATAAAAATAAATAAATATTAGTCTTGCCAGGCAGTGGTGGCACACACCTTTAATCTAGCACTTGGGAGGCAGAAGGTGGATCTCTGTGAGTATGAGACCAGCATGGTCTACAAAGCAAGTTCCAGGACAGCCAGGACTGTTGTTACACAGAGAAACCCTGACTCAAAAACTGCCCCCCTCCCAAAAAAATAGTCTCATTCTGGGTGACAGATATAGCTCAGTGATAGAGTATTTGCCTGGCATATGTGAGGCCCTGTATTCATTCCTAAGCACTGAAAACAGACTCATCTCATAGGAGCAGTATATTATTATTTTTATTTTGTGTCAAAACTATCTTTTTTTTTTTTTTTTTGGTTTTTTGAGACAGGGTTTCTCTGTATTGTTTTGGAGGCTGCCCTGGAACTCGCTCTGTGGACCAGGCTGGCCTCCAACTCACAGAGATCCACCTGCCTCTGCCTCCCAAGTGCTGGCATTAAAGGCATGTGCCGCCGGGCGTTGGTGCCACCAACACCCGGCCGTATCAAAACTATCTTAAGGGCTTGAGAGATGGCTCAATGGTTCAGAGCCCTGCCTGCTCTTCCAAAGTTCTTGAGTTCAATTCCCAGCAATCATACAGCAACTCAGAACCATCTGTAATGAGATCTGATGCCCTCTTCTGACATGCAGGCAGAACACTGCATACATAATAAATAGATCTTTTAACAAAAACTACCTTAAATTTTAAATTTCTCCCTCCTTCAATTCCCCTCTCTCTTTCTGCCTCCCTCCAACCTCTCCTGATTTCTCCTTTCCTTTCTTCTTCCATCCTCCCACCCCCACATCTTCTGAAACCAATTTAAAAAGAACACCGAGCATGGCAACAGGATCTGCAACATATTTCGTTCTGTGCTGCACTTTTCCTCAACTCTGTCCTTCAGCCTCCATGTGTCTCTGAGAAGAATGGAAGTCTCTGTTGGTAAGAGCTGCTGTCACCTGAAATCCTCATCTGCTCCAGGACTAGCGAGTGAGGGCTGAGCAGGAGAAGCCCTGCTACATGAGCCCCGAAGTCAATGACCAGATCCCAAGCTACTCCCAGGACTGACCTAAAGACTTGTGTGCATTTCATAGTGTTAGCCTTGATTTCCCAGATTTGCCCTTGAATGCTTCATGGAGTAGTGTGGAAAATCAGATGTCAGAGAGAATGCATTAGTTCACAAATGGCACAAAAATTGCTGAATTAGAGGAGCTTGAGCTCATCTGTCTCTAGTCATGGGTCAGAAACTAGTGACAGACACTTGTCTACACTTGATTTTTTTCTCTGAGTAAGCCTATGGGACGAGGATGTCTCTTAGTTGGTAGACTGCTTGCCTAGCATTCACAAAGCCCTAGGTTCAGCCACTGACTTAACTGGGAGATAGAGGCATCAAATCAGAAGTTCAAGGCCATCCTCAGCTATATATGGAGGGAGAGGCCAGCCTGAGATACTTGAAACTTTTCTTAGAGGAGCTGGGGGAAAGAGAAAAAGGAAAAAAAAGAAATGGAAAAGAAAGAGTAGTCCTAGCTAGCCACTGAAAATAATTGTAAATATTTCTTTTATCATGTAGGGAATTTATGTGGAAAACGCATCAAGAAGGATTTACACCTGTTTGTGTCCTCCGACTAAGAGTGAAGGCTCCTGTAGTGTTCTGTAGGCACTCCTTTAGTTTTTGTTCAGTTTTGCCTCCGTTTGCCTTGCTTCACAGTTGTGCTAGGTAAGCACAAGGTGCCTGATGTTTTTCAGTTTGACCACTAGATGGAGAATCTATCTGCTCCATCAGCTCAAGACAAATTTTGAATAGTATCTGTCTAATTCAGTACTAGAGACCGCTTGTGAGCAAATACAAAATTCAGGCATTTCAAGAGTGACATTATAATCTAGCAGAGAAAGATAGGAACTCAAGAATATGTATTTCAAACAACATAGAGCTTTAAAATTCTCATTTTATAGTTCTAAATTTATAATTTTTATATTTTTACTTATACTAGTTTATTCTCTCTCTCTCTCTCTCTCTCTCTTCCCCCCCAGTGGAAACCCCAAACCCAAACACCTTTATTCCAACTGGAAAATCAAGTCTGGAACATGGAAAGATCAAACTGTAAAGAGACAAATACATCCAGCCCCCAATGCAGTGAACTCCAACTCCTACTGGAATCAGCCTTGGTAACCTTTAAGACAATATAGCAGCTTGAAGGAGGAATTAGGATGGTCTCCACATTGTTTCCCTATTTAAAAATCGTATAAAATACAATTTATTATGAGAGAGAGAGAGAGTGAATGAGAACCAGACATGGTACCATCTGTACACTTAGAAGACAGTTTTGGGTATCACAAATCACAAATTCTGGGCTAGGTTCCATAGTAAGACCCTCTTTCAGAAGACTAAAATAATAATAGCAATAATGTAAATAAAACTGGTGTAAATGAAGTATAGAGGATATTCAAATGAATATGCTATTATGAAGGTAACTCTAAAACATCAGTCTGCAAATTTTATTGAATTCAGATGGCATTACTTGGGCTGGGTGGTGGTAACATAGAGCAAGTTTCAGGACAGTTAGGGCTGTTACACCGAGAAACCACCCTGTCTCAAAAAAAAAACAATAAATAAATAAACAAATAAGTAAATAAGATGGCATTACTTGAACATCTAATGTATACTGTTCCAATAGAAAATGTCCTATTAGAGCCGGGCAGTGGTGGCGCATGCTTTTAATCCCAGCACTCGGGAGGCAGAGGCAGGTGGATCTCTGTGAGTTCGAGACCAGCCTGGTCCACAGAGCGAGTTCCAGGACAGCCTCCAAAACAATACAGAGAAACCCTGTCTCAAAAAAACAAAAAAAGAAAGGAAGAAAGAAAGAAAGTGTCCTATTAGGACATGGATTAAAAACTGGTTACTTGGGATCTGATGTAGGTATGTAGAACCAAAATAGCCACATGATTGTAACAGCTGAGAACTCTGCACACGAGCAGATAGGCCAGCAAAGTGGCTGTTCATGAAGAAATATGGTGAACACAGTACCGTTAAGGGGCTCTGGTAGTGAGAGGTTTTGAAATACGTTGATGTGCTTTTACTTTTACATGCCTTGCTCATGACTTTCCCCATTCTTTAAACATCGCTGCCTTCAAAAGTTTAGGATCTTTACAACAGGAATGCAAAGATTTACTCTTCTCCTCTAGAACCTCATTTCAAAGTGAAGATCTTCACGGCCAGATCTCTCCATTAGATTATAACCAAGAAAATACTTTGGGGATGTAACCCAGTTGGTAGAGTGCTTGCCTGGCATGCACAAAGCCCGGGGTTCATTCCCCAGACCAGGACCGTATAAACCAGCTACAGTGATGCACACCTGAATCTCAGGAGTTCGGGAGCTCTGTCCCCCTAACGACGTAGTGAGTTTAAGGCCAGTCTGGGATACAGGAGACTGTCTCAAAACAGCAACAACAAAAAGCCTTACAGAAGGGAGCAATAATGATCAGATGATCATTCCGCATAAGCAATGGAGGCAGTAGGAGAGCAGACTGGATGGATGCTGAAATTGTCTCATAAACTGGCCACATCCACAAGACCAGAGAGGCAGGGAGACAATCCTAGGAGGAAGCTGGATCCACAGTGGAGCTTATTGGTGTCCACCACATGCCACTCTGGCTCCAGGAAACACCCAGACTTCTGGCCGGGCCTAGACTAGTGTCCCCAGGGGCTGGGTTAGCGCTTACAGACCTTGTGGCTTGCAAGCATCAAGCCCCAGAGCAAAGAGCTAGATAGGGCAAGGGCAGGAAAGACCTGCAGCGCAAACAGGCTCAGAAGCTGCTTGCTGGTCAGAGGGCCAGCTTGTTCCGTTTGAAACTGGCAAAAGATCCTCAAATATCTAGAGATGTGAGGCATGGTACGCTATAGTTTTTAATATAAACCATAAGACATGAAGTCATGGCAATTTCCTGTCATACAGAAAAAGGCAATAAAAGCCCTTCCTGGTTAGGGAGGAGGAATTCTCCAGTTGGGTGAAAGGGAATCTTAGGAGGAAGTCAGCTCAGGCATTCTTTCTGTCTGGGGACTTGGAAGAACACCCCACACCGAAGTAGGGTTGTTAAAAACAGAACAGCAGGGCTGGAGTGGGGCGGGTGAGCAGAAAGGAGTGTGGCTGGGACTTGTGAGCTTTCAAGTTCCTAAGTATCTTAGATAAGGCCCACAGTGTTACTGAGTTTGAGGGCCCAGCCTGTGTCTCAACAAGCCAGGTTTTGCAACCCATCCGCAGTAAGCCAATTAAAGAAGCCAAATTCATAGAGAAGACAGAAAGAAGAGATTTCTATTCAATGAGGCCATGTCGAAAAGAGAGACAAAGTGATCTAGTGACCCATTCATGCTTATCTTGGGGTCCTGTAGTAAGGTTGAGTTTTAAGTGGAGGCCAAGCTAAGCAGCCCTGGGCAGGCTGTGGTCCTGCCAACCATTGTCCTGCCAACCACTGTCGTGCTATTAACCGACAGATTGCAAATGTCTTTCCTGAAACTTTTCTTCTGACTGGCCCAGGCTTTAGACTTCCTCTTCTCCTAGCATGAGGTTCCTGGGGCAATTCCAGTTTATTGAGGCCCATTGTTTCAATCCTCTGATGACCAGGATGAAGCTGCAAACTGTCTCTTTAGAGTGTCAGTTATCCCTGCTAGGCTGGTTACAATAGGCCTGGTGCCTAAAGATAAACTCTGAATTGTCTAAATCCAATTCCTGGTTGTTTTTCCAAAAGAAAAGGTCTAAACTACTGTGTCTGTATTTCCTTAAAGAGACAAGGTGAAACTTTCCATAATTTATGGAACTGGGGGGAGGGGTGCTTTCTGTTTTCACTGACAAGTTAAATATCTTTCCATCTAAGTCATTTTAACCATAAACTTCAAACCTGATGCATGTGCACACTTTCAGGCAAGTGTGCCAGCCATGTATTTAAATGTACACAGCTTTGTCAAGGTGCACACACCATGTCCCAGATACTTACGAGGTTCACTTAAAGTCAGCCTGTTCCACATGGTGAGATACCATCTGAAATAGAAATCCCAGTAAACATACACATGCATACCTAAAAAACACATGCAGAGAACTTCACACACACACACACACACACACACACACACACACACACACACACACTGTTCAGTCCTTCAGTCTCCTTTGTTCTGTTAGATCAATGTTAGGCGATGTGCGTCATTCTGATGGGTCAACAGTCATTGGGCAGCAATATCATTTTGGGAAGGAAAACAAGTCTTGGCTTAAAATTTTCAAGCATCATCCTGAACTGCAAATTCATTTCTTCTAGTGTATTGTGTGAGCCTCACAAAGACATTTGATCTAGACCACTTCCCAGGAAGCCTCTGTATGGAATGCATTAAGTCTCTTTTCACAAGCCCTGCAGGTTCACTGAAGAAGCCTTACTCTCAAATAAAATGCTCATATTGCCTCAATCGACTGCCACCAGCCCTTAGGAAGTTCAACCACAAAACAGGAAGACCTCTGTTGATGGGGATAGGCCCCATACAGCTTTCAGAGGACCTCAGGCAGATATATGCTGGTGCCAGGCTCTTCATTTGTTTCTTTTACGTAACATTCTTTCAGAGGTCATCCCTAGTGAACATAGTCCTCACCTTTTTACATCAGCAGGGGTAAGTAGGTGTCTTTCCCTCTGTGTAGTTGTGTGTATATGTATATGTGTACAGATACACATGCCTGGGCATGTATGTGAAGGCCAGAGGTGGACATTGGTGTCCTCCTCAGTTGCTTTCCACCTTCTTATTCTGAGGCAGTGTCTTTCACTAGAACCGGAACTCAGCCATTGGACTATGCTAGCTGGCTAGCTAATTCCTGAGCTCCCCGCCCCCACCCTGCCTCTGCCTTTCCGTGATAGAATTACAAGCTCACAATACCCATGCTTGGAATTTTATTTGGGTGCTGGGGATCCAAAGTCAGGTCCTCATGCCTGCACAGCAAGCACTTTACCTACTGAGTCATCTCCCCGGTCCCTGTCTTTCCTTAGCAGCAACAGATAGCATGGCTGACTCTTCAACTTGAATCTCCTCCCTGCTAAGAATCCTTGGCTGGCTAGAAAAAGGATATGGGCAGCTAAGCCTGTTTCTCCCAGACCCATGTGGCACTCTTTCCTCCATAGCCAAATCTCCCCAGCCTCTCTCCTCTTCCATATCAGCAATGAAGGATGCTACTTCAAACCTTGTTGTAGTATTCTGTTTCTCCCTGAACTCAACCTTCTAGTCTCCCTTGAGCCTCTGCCTTTGTGGCCCAAGTTACTCTGTGGCTTTCTCTGAAACTTCATGACTTTCTCTGGAAAGATTCAGCACTTCCAACTATTCAGAATCCAAGTTCTTCTGCAAGATTTCTGGTGTCTGTCCCACTTGGCACACTGTTGTGCACATCTTCTACTCTGTCCCATCCCAGGCTGCTCCAGGAACTCACTGGTCACATGGACCAAGTGACACTCACTCAGGCTCTCTGAATCTAGGATCCACTAGATGCCATTCCTAACCCTTTGAGCTTCCCCTGGGGGTGTGCTGCTCTGGACAGTCCGTGTAGAGAGCAGGCAAATACACTCTTGCTCTGATGGCTGAACCTTCAACCCTCTCTGTCACTGCAGGTTTGCCCAGCAAGGCCTTGGGAGCAGTCCTTCTTAGATGCTTCAGCTCTTATGACAGTCTGATTTCTCCCTCCCAACCTAGGAAATGTTTCTTTGGTTTTCCTGCCCGAGAAGGAGGCAGGGGAGCTGTCTGAGTCACTTCATTGCCCCTACTCTGCGATAAATTTTCCTAAAGTCTAAAACTTTGATCCTCTAATAGGATTTAAGCTTTGCAACCAAGGCTTTTTTGAATTATAAACAAAACCAATTTTTCTTTTTTCTTTCAAAGGCTTGGCTCTTACAAATCCAAAGTCATGTGATTTGAGATTCCTTTGGCAGGTGCGAATACAAAAATCCACTCAGACCTTTAAATTATGTCTTTGTAGACAGTGTCTGCTCTCACCAAACAATGAGTGGCATTATTGAGTAGATTGAAATATGCACAATGACTTTAGGAGACAAAAAAAAACCTCTCTAAGGAGCCATGAGATGGCTCAGCTGATAAAGTACTTGCAAAGCAAGCCTGACAACTTGAGTTCAGTCACCAAACCCACAAAAGGTAGGAGGAGAGAACCGACTCTACAAATAAGTCCCCCGACATTCGTATGCATGCTGTGGTGCTTGGACGTATACGCACATTAATAATAATACATTTTAAAAATGTGAAACCCTGACATCCCCAAACATGTCCCAGGATATCTTTAGAGGCAAGCTAGACTACGACTTTGCTTTGAAATTATTGCTGGTAGTATTATTTTGATTTTACTCTTTATTCTCCTCCAAGAGTCCAATCAGAATTTTGGAGATGTTTAATGAATCTCGTCCCTACTGCCGAGTCCTGCAAGACCACATTCACTGGGAAAGAAGTAGCCATTTAAATTATGAAACAATTATATATTTAACATTTTTATATAAACTGGCATAGATGTTTTTGGTAGAGAGAATGGGTGGCTGCATTTTGTCTTCCTTACTCCTTTTCTTCCCCTGCATAAGCAATTTTTAGGGGGCTAGGGAATGACTTTTTCAGAGGAATGCAAGCACCTTGGAGAACATCCATCTGAATCTGTTTAGCTCATGGAACAGA